CGGCTTCTTTTTCTACTTCAGGCATTATTTTTGCGTTGAAGTCGGTGAGGACTTGTGATTTTATCGCAGTCCATGGTTGATACATGATATCATGCTTGCTCAATTCTATAGCCCACTTAGGCAATCTTCCCGATAGCTCGGGCTTATGTAAAATACTTCTTAGGGGGAAAGTTGTGACTACCGAGATAGGGTGGCATTGGAAGTAGGATCTACGCTTTCGTGAAGCTACGACCAAAGCCAACGCCAATTTTTCAATGTGGGAGTACTGCGTCTCGGGGTCGATTAAGGTTTTGCTAATGTAGTAGATAGGGGATTGCGTACCTTTGTCTTCTCGGACCAGGACTTCACTTACTACTACTTTGGATATGGCGAGGTAGATGAGGAGGCGTTCTCCAGGTTCTGCTTTGGCTAACAAAGGGGGTGGTGATAAATAAGCCTTTAACTCCTTTAGGGCTTGCACACACTCGGGCATCTATAGAAGATCATTATCTTTTTTTAGTACGCCGAAAAATTTGTGACACCTATCAGACGATCGTGAGATGAATCTTGACAGGGCGGCGATGCGTCCGGTTAGCCTCTGAACTTGTTTTTTGCTGGTTAAGTGTTCTGGTATTCCTTATATGGCCTTGATTTGATCGGGATTGACCTCAATGCCTCTTTGTGATACCATGAAACCCAAATATTTTCCCGAGGTGACGATGAATGCACACTTCTCGGGATTTAGTTTCATATCGTATCACCTGAGTATGTCGAAGGCCTCCTTCAGGTGGTCGATGTGATCTTTTTTCTGTCTGGATTTGACCAACATGTCGTCTATGTAGACCTCTATGGTTTTGCCGAGTTGGTTTTTAAACATTCTTGTCACCAACCTCTGATAGGTTGCCCCCGCATTTTTCAGTCTGAAGGGCATTACCCTGTAGCAATATGATACTTGGTGGGTGATGAATATGGTTTTCTCCTGATCTTCCTCCTCCATGAGGATCTGGTTGTAGCCCGAGTATGCGTCTAAGAAGCTCAGCAGTTCGTGCCCTGCTGTTACGTCAATGAGTTGGTCGATATGGGGTAGCGGGAATGAATCTCTGGGGCATGCTTTGTTTAAATCCGTAAAGTCTACGCACATCCGCCACTTTTCGTTCTTCATTTTTACCATGACCACATTGGCGATCCACTGGGATATTTTGATTCCCTGATTGAGCCGTTTTCTAATAATTTTTCGACCTCCTCACGGACTGCATCGTTTATTGCGGAATTGAATTTTTGCCTAACCTGCCTCACAGGGGGGTGGAATGGGTCGACGTTCAACCTATGTATGGCGATCTCTTTCGGGATACCCGGCATGTCTGCATGGGAAAAAGCAAACAAGTCTGCGTTAGCAGTTGAGAATTGACGGAATTTACTTGGTTCTTGAAGCTTACGGCCGATGTAGGCTATTTTGCTGTGGTCATTATCGTTAAGTTGGGCGGGGTCGAGGTCTTCTACGGTTGATCCCATGGCGTCTATTGTTTCGGGATCTCTGATGACGTCCGCTTTCTTAGCATAGCTCGACCTCGACATTATTAATTGCTATGCATCCTCTGCTTTGCCCTTCATTTGTTGGGTGTATGTACAATCCTGGGCGATGCGATAGCATTCTCGAGATGTACGTTGTTCTCCTCGAATGTTGAATACTCCCCACGGGGTTGTAAATTTGATGATTTGGTACAAGCTGGAGGGGATAACTCTCATGGCGTGTATCCACGATCGACCTATTATGGCATTGTACGCCGTATCCTGATCCATGATGTGGAATGTGATTTCCAGAGTGACGCCGCCGGCTAGGACGTGGAGTGTGATTTCTCCGGATATTCGTTCAACTACATTGTTAAAACCTGTCACCGTGATGCAACGCTGTACTATCTTATCCTCGAGTTTCATTTGCGTATGTACTCGAGGATGGACAATGTACGCTCTGCTCCCATCGTCCACCATAATGCGTATTACATCTGTATCTAATATTCGTAAAGTGATAACAAGGGCATCATAGTGAGGAAAAACCAAACCATGGGTATCTGACTTATCGAAGATGATACTTTCTTAGAGTTCGTCGTACCGTTCATGAGTGATTGACCATTTGAGCTTGTGGGTTGTGGTGAATTTTACGCTGTTGATCGAAACTTCACCGCCGCCCCCGATGATCATTTGAATGGTGCGAGTCAGTGAGGGTGGTTTCGGTGATCCCCGGTGCTGTTCGCGTCCTCGGGCATAGTTGGTCCTTCCTCGTCGCTCAACAATTCTTTGAGGTGTCCTTGATGAATCATGTTCACGACTTCCTCTCTTAGGGCGATCCAGTCCTTAGTTTTATGACCTCGCTCTTGGTGGAACTCACAGAGGGCATTTGACTTTCTATTGTTTGGATCTGACCTCATCTTTTGTGGCCACTTTACTTTTGGTCCGAGCTTCTCCAATGCATAGACTATTTTTAAAGGTAACACACAAAAATTGTGAGCGGATAGTAAATGGGGCATACCTCGCTCGTTCCGGTGAGTCCCTGATTTTGGCCTAGATGGGCCCTCTTCGTGGCGCGGATTGGTCATGATGGCATTTATGACATATGGCTGATGCCTTTCTCGGTTGGATCGTGGGGCTGCGAGATATCTCCTGGTGTCATTTCTTCGATCCTTCCTGATTTCGGCTTGTACCGAGGCCAAACGATGGGTCAGCCCATTCGGGTCGTCTTCGTCGGCGCGGATCTCGGCACAATAGGCGTTGTGTATTTCATACCAAGTGGTTGGAGGATATTTCATAAGTCGGCTTAGTAGTTTTCTTGTTGCCCTTGAGCCATTCCTATTCAGCCCGTTCTGGAAAGCTGCTACTGCCATTCCTTCTGATACATTTGGTAAGGCCACCCTTACTGTGTTGAATCGAGTAAGGAAGTCCCTCAATCCCTCTCCGGATGATTGTTTGATGGCAAATATATCGTTCACTCTTGCCTCCGCCTTTTTAGCTCCAGCATGGGCCGTTACGAACTCGTCGGCCATCTCCTCGAATGTTTCAATGGAGCTCGCGGGCAGCTGTGAATACCAAGTTAGTGCGCCCCCGGTGAGGGTTTCATCAAACGTTTTCAACAGGATAGAGGACACTTGTTCTTTGGTGAGGTCGTTGCCTTTTACTGCGGTGACATAGCGAGTCACATGATCTTCAGGGTCGGTCGTACCGTCATAAATTTTCAGATAAGGTGGCATCTTGAACGCCTTGGGTATGGCATGTGGGGCGGCTTTATCACTATAGGGTTGCTCGATGAACCGACCAGCGTCTCTTTTTGGCAGCAGTTTTGGGGCACTCGGTATTTTGTCGACTCTTTCTTGGTGCTCTCTTATTTGATCCCGGAGCATTTTATTTTCATTTTCCATTTCTTCCATTTTTCTCAGAATGGCTGTGAGGGTGTCGTTACCTGCATTATTAGTATTGTGAGTGATACCCGTTACTAAAGGGAGAGGACCGTACTGCTTGGCCATTGCTGGTGCAATGCAAGTCTTTGTATTTTCTCTAACTACTTCCTGAGTGGGCTTGTTGAGGATACCTGTCAGTGTATTTGTCAGCCAAGCCTCGACTAGCTTCTTCACCGCTGGTGGCGTCTCTTCTGTTGTGGACGTGGAAGCTCCTTTACCATGGGATCCTGTGATACTACCATGAGGGAAGGGCGATTCACTTCGTCGGGGAGAGGTGTTTGGCGTTATGTCTTCGCCTTCTGTTTCGGAGACCTCATTGATGGTGTTTAGGAGGTTGGTAGTGAGATCGGCCACTGCCTTCGTCCTTTCTTCTCCTTTACCTGCCATGTCAGATCTGGGTGTACAAGGAAGTATACACCTCTATCTTATTTTTTGTGAACAATGCTACTTATAGATCTAGAAGAAACTAAAGATTTAACTAGACAATCCTCATAGACGACGCCAAATTGTTTGACCAAAAAATGATTATTTTTGGCTAAACTAATTGAATGTATTTAATTTGGGGTTAAGCATAGCTAATATTAATAACTTCAGATATGAATTCAATATGCGAATACCGATAATGGTAGAAGAAGATCTAGCATTCAAGTACTTTGAACGGCGCTAAGGTAAATAAAGGGAATGATTCACCCAAAATCGAATAGGATAAAACGACTCTTCTCCTGGCCACGATGATTGATAGATAGATACAAGAATTTTTGAAGTCTTTCTTGGATTTGCTATAAAAGATGTAGACAGTATTTTTGTAGCCCCCTTCATCTGATCTCCCTTTCTCTTTATAGGGGCAAACCCTCAATTAACCTTAAAAGTACAAGTATAAAGTATAAATAACGGAATATTCTCTTAAAGGTTCTATTACTGAACTGGCCGTTAACTGCTCCCTAATACTTGACCTCGGCCATAACTGGTTGCTCGGCCATGAATCCACATTAATGATTAGTCGACCTCGGCCAAATTACCTATGACCACATCGCTTCATGTTAAATGCCCTTGGACAAATTTTGACCCATACATTTACTTGAGTTAGGAATCCGAAGTTAAATTCACCTCCTTATTTAAGGGTAAAGAAATCACAATCAATCTATCTTATTTGTGAGAGTTAACCCGTGAAGGCCTACTTGGATATTAATAAGTTAATTTATAGTATATATTTTTAAAAAAAAATTGGAGTGACTTTTTTTATGTAATCATTTGGTATTCAATATTTATTGCCCGATTAATTCAGATTTACATAGCATAAAGTTTATTTAAAAAGAAAAATACTTTTTTAACAAAAATTTCAATTCTCAAACTCGAACACTAAATATTACTAGAATTTTCTACTTCAGAGGACGGGCAGAGTGACTTCTCTTTTTGCTGGAAAAGATAAGAATAAGGGGCAGTAAATATAAAAATTATATTTTAATAAATTAAAGTGAACCAAAAAACAAAAAACAAAGAAGGTGCTTGTACGACGTCGTTTCAATGCGATTAGCTTGTTACCCAAGAAGTGTGTATATTCTGCTGTGAGCATCACAATCAATTCCAGAAAAGCTAGAAAGGTTCGAAGAAAGAGCTTTCAGTAGCAATACTCAGAGATCGTAAGAAAGAAACTGAAATCACACAGAGAGCAAATCGTTCGGTAACTTTTAGTATCAGATATGGCTAGATACGATAGAGCGATCACCGTGTTCTCGCCGGACGGCCACCTATTCCAAGTAGAGTACGCCCTCGAAGCCGTACGCAAAGGTAACGCCGCCGTTGGTGTACGTGGCACTGACACTGTTGTCCTTGGCGTCGAGAAGAAGTCCACTCCCAAGCTTCAGGACTCTAGGTACGTCTTTGTTGCAATTTATCTGCTTTTAAGATCTAAAAATGCAATCTTTAGGTTTACTTATGAAAATAATGCTCTTTAGGTTCACTCTGTGATTCCGCGAGATTTAGCGTTTCTTTTTCTGGATTTTGACCTCTTACTTTTCTGATCTTTTTTTTATCATTTGTTTTTTTTGGTGTGCACATATACTCATTAAGAGAGTGTCTATATGTTGTTGAATTTTTTATTTCTGGGTATTATCTGTAAAGAGTCTATTAAAGATTTTAGTTTCAATATTTGGAGGTTGCAAGTGGTTTAGCTGATTCTTTTAATTATCTGGACCTAATAGTATGTAATGTAATGTACATAGTGCTGTTTGGAACTGATAGAGTTTATTAAGGGCTTTTTGTTTAAAGAATACCTGTATTATTATTGATATCTTTAGTGTGCCAAGAGCTTCCTATTTTGGCTTTTGGTTTTCCCCTCGTGGGTGAGCCCGGGGTAGGGAGAGCGACAAGACTACCCATACAATGGATAGAGAATTAAGGCCCATATAGCAGTTTAGAAAAGCTTTTGAGGAAAGATATTATTTTGATCAACTTTCTCAACAAAAAGAAAAGATTGTATTTTGGTCAATTAAGGGTGTCTCTTACCTGGTGGTTGAAAGATAGGAGTTTAGTTGTTGCAAGTATAACTTGGTTATTTGTTTACTCTGTTTATTAGATGATGTGTGCTGGCAAATACATACTAATACCCAAGTTAACTTTATCACCCTGGTCTAGTGTTTACATTGATTGAGATATTGCTCTGGCATTTTGATTTGAATTTTCCTCCTGCTTTGACATTCTTAAGCTAGTTAATCTTTTTCTTTTTTGCAGGTCAGTGAGAAAGATAGTAAATCTAGATGATCACATTGCATTAGCCTGTGCTGGACTGAAAGCAGATGCACGAGTCCTTGTGAATAGGGCACGCATTGAGTGTCAGAGTCATAGGCTTACAGTTGAGGATCCTGTTACTGTTGAGTACATAACTCGTTACATTGCTGGTCTTCAGCAAAAGTACACCCAAAGTGGTGGTGTTAGGCCATTTGGTCTATCCACCTTGATCATTGGTTTTGACCCATACACCGGTGTCCCCGCGCTTTATCAAACAGATCCATCTGGTACATTCTCAGCTTGGAAAGCCAATGCAACTGGTAGAAATTCCAACTCTCTTCGGGAATTTTTGGAGAAGAACTACAAAGAAACATCTGGCCAGGAAACTGTGAAACTAGCAATACGTGCTTTGCTTGAAGTAAGTAATCTCTGTCTTGCTTATTTTGAATTGTGGTAATCTTCACAAAAAAAAAAAAAAATTTAAATGCAATTTTCCTTTCACAAAACATCAAAACCCATAATGTGAGTTTCTCTTAACTTGCGTTTCTTTTCATCAGCTCTTAATTTTAAATCTTCAGAACATAAGGGATCATCTTAAACTCCTCCCGTCATAGTTCAATCAATCAACTATGCCTCAATTTCTAAGTCCTGCGAAATTAGTGCTCTAAATGTTGATCTATTAAGATGTAACGAGATTGACTTAAGATTTTAGCCTTCTTTGCCTAGACCAGATATGAAGTCACGTTGACTTCACTATGGATTCTTCAGTTCACCATATGATATCTAATTCTTGGCACTGTTACACAGTTCTTTCACTAATGAGCTGGGCACAAAACAAATAGATAAAATTCTGAAGGGAGGGTAGTAATGAACAAAAATGTGACATTCGATGGTTGAATGCAACTTCAACAATTTATGTAGTGTATGTTAACTTTTGTTTGCTTGTATAATTAGAGGTAGTTTGGAATTTTGCTCGATCTTAACGGTGGATAGGATTAGGTTTATGTTAGTTTGCTGGTAAATATATGCTTTCTGTATATGGTTATGTCCTCAAGATACTTTTTTTAAAAAATTATAGTTGTTTAATACTCTGCCCCTTCCATTTTATGGGACATATTTTTAATACACTCGTAGTTTTATAAGGTCATGTGAGTTGTGAATTATATTTATAAGAGTATAAAATTATTGCAAGGGTTTACTTCCTGTTCTAAATTAATGTTTACTTTGCATTGTTTTTAAGCGGTATAGGCATACTCTATATATACATATTATCTTAGAAAGGAAAAAAATTATTTAATCTATATATACATATTTTCTTAGAAAGAAAAACAATTTATTTACCTGGAAGCAGTTCCTAGTACCTTATCGAAAAGGATAATGCAAACAGTTCCTAGTATGTGCTAGTATTGAGTATGGGACAGGAGTTTTAGAAATGTGGGAATTGGGGCATTGGCATAGAATATTCAGTTGTGTGAGAATTTCTGGCTCGTTACCTGGTAGAAGTACAATTTCAGTCGATTCCTGACATCTACTGAAAGACTACCTTAAAATAGGCACTCGGTACACATAGTGCCGTAATTCAAGGTTAATAATGTCGTTTTGAACTTAGATCACCAATGATATCCTTGGGTGGTTGAATTCTTTTCAAGAGGAAGATTTCGATGACTGAAAACAATTGTAGGTATGGTTCAGATTTCTAGTGACTGCTAAGTTGAATAGCTACCTTATCGTGGAGTGGGATGTGGATAGATCTTATGTAATGCATTTGCTTATTTGATTAGAACCTTTTTCTGCTTGCAAGCAGGGCTCTCTTGTTTGCACCTTGTTCCTATGGCTAGAGGCAGACCCTGCAAATGTAAATCCTAATGACTTTTATGCTGACAAGGTTGGTTCGAAATTGTATGGCTGTTATTTCTTTGGCCCTGCGGAAATTGTTAGTTTCCTTTTTGAAAAGATCTCTCCGTTTTAAAAGTGATAAGCTCTCTTGCTTGCTTCTTTGATTCTGTTCCTGGCGGCATTCTCTAGAAAATGCATACGGCACTATTGCTTGTAATGTGATGCCTAATGACTTTGTATGCGGACAATGAATTTATGCGGAAGTCAGTTTTAGATGTTGGAGGTGACTGCCAAGTTGTGTCTCTCCTCAACTCAGCACACAACAAAAATAAGCACGAATGTGATTTGTTAGTTTCTAAACCTATAAAACTAACTCTCTTTTTGACGTAATGACGCCCGAAGATGTGAAAAATCATTTAAGATGAGACATGATATGTAATTAGGCCCCAAAAAGCTATCTCAACTACGTTTACTTTTCATATATTTGCTGTAAAGTACTTACCTCTAAAAACTTGTGAGGAAATTTCTTCATCACCTAAGAGACCGGTGAAAGGTCCATACTTCAGATTTATAATGTGTCTAGAAATTCAGACACATTAATTGCTACCATCTAAGGTTCACATTATGTTGTCATTGTCGTCCACAAGGGGATAAATGAGTGGGATAGAACTTAGGAGTAACAAACAGAAGATCTAAGGTTCAAAGCCAGCTATTACAGTTAGTTGTGTGAGCTTATTCGCTCAACCTTAGCGGTAGGACGTCTGGCGCTTGTAGGCTGTAGTGTAGCAGGTTGTCAAATGGTTTAGTTTGAGGTGCGTGCAAACTTGTGCATATACCACTGCTATTTTTAAAAATGTGAATGTTGTGGGTGTGCTTAAGCAGCTAATGAAATTGGTAACTTAGGAGTTGTCAGTTGAATATCACAGACAGACATACATTTGAAGAATGTCTTCCTATGAATGTCCATAGATGTCAAAAGTCCTCTGTCTATTGCAATACTTGGGCTTTCTTAAACTGCCTCAAGAGTATCTTATGACTTGCTCATTCGCTGGGAATAATAACATCTTCAATATAAGCGGCACCTAAACTTGCATTTCGATGATATATTTCTGGCGTACATATGACTCACACATGCTAAGCTATTTAATTTGCTTTGGGCGCGGCTCTTTATGATTCAAGTTGTTGACAAAATTACATTTCAGTTTAAGCGGATTTATAAATGATAGTTTCCCATCAACCTAAGCCTTGGTGGGTAGAGTAATTCGGTACCTATGCTGGTGGGAGGGAGCACCCTCTCACGTCCAACCAAGAGGTTGTGAGTTCGAGTCACCCCAAGAGCAAGGTGGGGAATTCTTGGAGGGAGGGAGCCGGGGGTCTATCGGAAACAGCCTTTCTACCCCAGGGTAGACCCCACTAGTGGGATTATATTGGGTTGTTGTTGTTATTGTATGCTGGTGGGAGGAAGCAGGTACCTGGTCAAATAGTCAAGGCGTGCTGCAAGCTGATCAGATAACAGCGTTATAAATAAAACAAACCTACATGATTATTTCTTGTTGACATTTCTACGCCTTACTTTGCTGAGGGTCTAGTTGGCTGAGTGCATTTGTTTGGACTGTGATGATTCTTAAACTTGTGTTCCCTATGAATCAGGCTGTTGAAAGTGGTGGGAAGAACATAGAAGTTGCTGTTATGACAAAAGAGCATGGGCTTAAGCAACTTGAGGAAGCTGAGATTGATGCCATTGTTGCTGAGATCGAGGCAGAGAAAGCAGCTGCAGAAGCTGCCAAGAAGGCCCCCAAAGAAACCTAGTCCTGCTGAAATTCATATCTGAATGTGTTCCCTGAACTTTTTCTCTTTGATAAAAAAGTGTTAGTGTTCTCTGAATTAAAACTTGTTGCTCTGACTAATATTTAGTGCTTCTAAGACTGATCTTGTAGTCGGGCAAGACATTTGTTAAAATTGTTTAATAGGGCAAAAGAAGTTATCGTCTGCTATCTTCATTTATTCTTTTCATGCAAAGACAATCTGTTTCTGCCCTTTTTGGTCATTGCTTGATATATTTTAAAGTTTAACCGTGTTATCTGTTACTGGCTAGACGTAAGTGAAATATCAGCCAAAAAAGAATTTATTTGTGCTCTTCCCTCAATTCTGAATGTTTATTGTGGATTAATAGCTGGAACATAGGAGCAGAAAAGGATTAATAGCTATTGTGGATTAATAACTGAAGATTTTGATCCACTTTTACTACAAGATATTAGCCACTTCCAGCTTCTCTCTCTTTGGGCTTTGTTTGGGCCTTTAAAGTCTTAAACATTTTGGGCTTATTAATGGAATGACAGAATGGGCTATTGCTTTTGAACTGTCCGATCTGCACTTGGTCGTTAAGTTCAATTTCATCGCAATATTTCTGTTTCCATTGGCATTAGCTTAAATCCAAGCATGCTTGTTCTGTTTTGACATTCAATTTAAACTATTTTCTCGGTTGTTATACCATAGTCCATAGGCAAAGTAAGGATCCGCCAATGGGAGGGAAATAATTTGCCCACTTGTGGTCTCCGTTTATATAAGCTAAGCGTAGTTAATTAATACATATTGTTACCTCAATTTATTAGTAAATAATTTGAAGTAAACACAAGTGTTGCCGTTTGTATTGGCATTTGAAGAAGCTAAAATATGTGTGCGTGGCATAGGCTATCGACATAATCTTATTTTTATATCATTTTAATTTGGGGGTTTGGGGTTTGGGGGTTGGGTGGGGNGTGCCTATTGCTTTTTTTTTTGACATTATGATAATTTACTAGTTAATCTTCCATTCTTCTTTACTTGACGTGCAATATCTGATGCTATTTCATCCACCTTATCACTGGATTACTACCTGAACATAATTCTTTCCTCAACGCCCACGTTATTGTGAAAGAAAAATCCTGTTGAGTTAAGAAGCTACAATTCCAAGTTGAAAGGTTGTTGAAAAAAGAAGTGAAGCAATCGTGAATGTTTTAAAATCTGTAAATTTTATCTTTTAATTGTGGTTAAAGAAAAAGATAATAACCAAAGCAATTCTCGAGAAAATTGATAATTGTGTGGTTTCCCAATGTATTATGGATTAATTTAAGACCAATCTTACTATTGTTTGGTAGAGTTGACTTAAGGAAGTAGTTACAGAAGTTATGATAACTTCAATTCTAAATTACTCCCTCCGTTCACTTTACTTGTCCACTATACATTTTGCACACTCCTTAAGAAATAATAAATGAAGTGTCTAATTTACCATGAAAACATATTAATTAATGTATATTTATATTGGATTTGAGAAAGAGATTTAAAATGAGTAATTAAAACTGTAGGTATAACAGGAAAAAAGAAATTGTCTTCTATTGATATGCTAAAAGTGACAAGTAAAAGTAAAAATTTATTTTTAAAAATACTAGACAAGTAAAAGTGAACGGGGAGTAATTCTCATCAGTCAAGTGGGAGAGGATGATTTTTTTTTTTTTTTTTTTTTAAAAAAGTGGAAGAATGGCCAAAAAATAAACGAAAGAAGTCAAGATATAGTATCACTTGATTTTTATCTATATAAACTTGACTTTGAAAAAGCTACATTAAAAAGGGCAACCCTGGATGTTACAACTTGCAACCATCGCTAGCATCTCATTAATTGTGCACTTCAATTTCCACACGTATATCTGCATGGATTTCTAACTTGAAATGAGACAATTATATACGAATTATTGTCTACTTTTCAACGAGATAATGCTAAATATTTGGACACAATCCAACTACAATCAATAATTGATTAGAGAAATTAGAGTTATACAATTTATATTGTTTACTTTATTTTTGGTAGAGGGGTCCAAAAATAAATGAAGGCCGGAAAAAATATGTATAAAAGAAGAAGAACTAACCTAAATAGTCATTCACCCAATCGTTTAAACTAAAAATAGCCAGCGAATATATAATATAAATATTATATATGTATAATCGTATATAATCAATATAATTTGTGTATCGAATAGGAAGAGTAAATTGTGAATCCCAAGGGCGGAGCTAGAACACGACCTACGAGTTCGGCTGAACCCAATAGCTTTTGTCCAAACCAAATATTTATTTTAAGAAATTTATCGAATATGTACAATTTATTAATTTAGACTCAATAACTTAAATTTATCAAATTTTTGAACCCATAAGCTTCAAATCTTGGTTCCGCCTCTGATGACCAACCAATCGACTATTTACCTAAAGATCCCTATAAAACTAATAATAATAATAATAATAATAATAATAGAGTTAGGTCGTGGGCCAATCTATAATGCAGGAAGGAAGAAGGTTGGTACCTACCATCGACAAGAGTGATAGTACCAATATCTATCTTTACTATATACTTACCCTACGGATAACAGTTTCCACAAATGGGCCAATCTTGCTTTAATTGATATGAGATCTATATCTCACCAAACTCTTTTCCTAACTTCCTTCACCTGCCATATTTATGCTAATTGCTATCTATGGCAATAATAGCAGATTTATAATTTTTAATGTTGGATAATATTTTCTGGATGGACTTAACATTGATTCAATATTTTGAAAACAGACTAAACAAATATAGCTAGTTGACACGACTTGGGAGTAAATGATTTCATCTTGGTTATGAATCACTTAATATATTGATGTGGATCTATGAGTTTGTAATGAGAGTGCCATTAGATCGCCGTGAAATATTTAAACAAAGAGATTCATACGTAACAAATAATTAAGGAAAAAAGCAGAGAAAATGTGAAACCAAGTGCTTTTGTGGAAAATGTGTAGAAGAATTAAAACTCAGACAGATAACAAATTCGTCTAGCGGTTCATATGGAAATGTCTAAACTGATTAAGCCAATGGCCCAATAATAAGTTAGTTAGTAATCATAATTTGCAAATTGATGGGAAGTAGTAAAAGTGGTCCATTGATTTGACCCCGTCTTTAACCTGATTGTGACACCAAAAGGTCTCCAAAAAAATATCTAACGTTCACATTTATAAGCGAAAAACTTTCTCCTATTAATTACCAAAAAGAATTATGAACGAGCCGTTTAGTATTTCTTCATTTTTAATCAGAAAGACGTAACTATATAAAGCAATAATGGTAATTAAGAACTTGTTGTAAAACTAGAAAAAATTCATCGACCATTTGTTCGAAAAACTATCACATTAATTACCTGGTAGGGGCGTTTATTTCTTTAAATGGACTCTTCACTGTGTGGATTTGGATTAGTCAGATTAGTGTTTACGGAATATAAAACGATTAAACTAAAAGAGAGAACATAACAATTAGTTATTTCTATTTGGATTTAAGTTATATACACTAATAATTGTATAGGCCAAAATCTGTCTTCAGAATATTTAGCGTAATATGGCATTAAAGAAAGTTATCGGTCGAGCTCGCCCAAGACGCAACGAGGTCAATGGTCGAGGTACCGACATGAGCCGTGGTCAAGATATCGACGGTTATCGAAATCAAGATGTCAGCAAGGGTCGAGGTCGAGATTGACTATTGATGATAAGACTTGCAACGGCTAATTTGTCAAGACAAGGTACTAAATGGGAATATTATAGTGAATACTCCCTGCATTTGTACTATTAGGGTTTTCTAGGAAAAAAATCCCATATATATATAGAAAGAAGAGACGATGATAAGAGCATGTAATATTGATTCTAATAAGAACACTTTTGAAAAGAAGACTCCCTCTTTGGCAAAAATACAAAGGTTACCTTTTCAAATATTCTTGGTGATATATTATTCCCCACCTTTCCATCAGATCAAAGGATTGTTCATCCGAATCCTGGATTCTATCATTCATCATTGTCAGGCAAATTATTCGTCCTACCCATCCATTATTGGGTGAATCGTTCTCTTTATTTACTTAAATGTCATTTATTCACATTTATTGTTAGCTATAATACCCTTAGTGTCCTTGCTTTAAGAGTATTTTGTATTTATTGTCACCAACAATATACGGAATCTGTCCTATCTTTTATACGTTTTTGTGCTTAATATCTAGAGTTATTATCCTTAGTTAGATTTAACCCTATTACTACGTAAATTTAATAGTTTAACCGGAGATTATATTTTTTGGTCAAATAATTTGGCGCCGTCTGTGGGGACTTTCTAACCAAGTCGTTTAGTTTCTTCAAGATCTACTACCGGCACTAGTAGCTGACGTAAAAAAAAACTGAAAAGAAGAACCTTTTTTCCCCCCTCTCTGCATGCACAAATCTAACATGGCAGGTAACAGAGAAGAAAGAACAAAAATGATGAGTGACCTCCCAACCAACCTCATGGACATCATCCATGAAAACTCTGAAGCAGTGGACGAGGACACAACGCCGAACGCCTCCCCTAGGCGAGGAGGATCACCCTCTCCCCACTACAGCATCACCAAATCCCTCGGTAAGACAGCCTCCACATCCGTGGGAGAGGAGACACTGCCAGCGATAAAGAAATTCCTTGAGGCCTGGCTGACCGATACACTGACCAGCGTCCTCCATAAACCCGCTCAGGACGCGGCCGCAGCAAATGCGAGAACCTGTGTTGTGCCACCAATAAACGAGCAACACGATCAACCTCCTCCCCACCCGCAACGACAGGTATCACTCACAATGTTGTTAATAATGCAGGCGATGATGCTCTCACAGCCATTCTGAAAAGGATGGAGGAAATGGAAAATGAGAACAAGGCACTTCGGGATCAAATGAGAGAGCACCCAGAAAGAATCGATAAAATATCAGGCGCTCCTAAGTTATTGCCGAAGAGAGATGCCGATCGGTTCGTCGAGCAGCCGTACAGTGATAGTGCTGCCTACATGCCATACCAAAGACTTTCAAAATGCCGCCTTACCTGAAAATATACAATGGCACGATCGACCCCGAGGATCATGTGACCCACTATGTCATCGCTGTGAAAGGCAATGACCTCGCCAAAGAACAAGTATCCTCCATTCTACTGAAGCAATTCGGCAAAACTCTCA